CAGAAACCGGATGCCTCTTTAGCTTTTGCATTGTGTGTGTTTATCTTTTAAAGTTCAATTCCTCTGAGTCAGTCCCTTAGCTTCTAGTAGCAAATCTCCCTGTTCTGGAGAGGAAACCTGACCCGGGAGTGAGAGCGCTGGCTGGATGCGGAGGTCCCTGCCCGTGTAATCTCACACAAATGCCTAGGTCTGTCCACATGCCCCTTCCTGCTTGGTGAACAGCAATAAGGCCGGTTTCCTGTCTTTTAGTGAAGAAGTGAGGATAGCCACAGTAAGTACCGCCAGGCACAGATTTATGAAAAGACTTGAGGGCTGGCAAAGCTAGGAGTCCAAGGGCTTTTGTCACAGCTCTGCTGCCCTTCCAAGGGGTCCAGTGTAACATGTTAATTAACAAATAAACTCGGTGTGTGACCAGAGTTAATTTGTAGCAGTAACCAGAGGTGCTTGACTCTCAAAGTGGGTTATAACGGGAATCGAGGCACAAGGTTTCAGAGTGAGTGAGAAGTGAGACTTCTGGACAGTCGGTGCTGTACTCCTCGGCATCGCTGTGCTCGTGTCTCGCTGGGAGCCTGCCCCTCGATACCACAATGATGTTGGCCCTCTGGGGTGCATAGAGAGCAGTGAGCCTTAAAGCACTTCCCAGCTGGAGAGGTGGGGAGGGATGAGGGCTGCTCCTTATTCAGGCTTGCATCTGCTTGGAAGCATAAAATACATGCTTCACCTTTGTGTAAGTGTTTAGCATTTGGGCTGATTCAGGAGAAATTAGTTCAGACAGCCATTCTTATTTTATTTTGCAAAATTAGGGTTTTAAAATAAATTCCAATTTATATATATATATATATATATATATATGTGGCTAGCTGATCTGGTTTATTTGCCTTGCTGTAGAAGTGCAGGTAGTAATTAACAGCAGTACTGCAGATCTGGGGAATATCCAGCCTTTTGTTTGAACTGGCCGCACTTTTCAGCCGCGGTGTTTCCATGAGGGCACCCGCAGCTTGTCACTGTTCCTTGCACTCATTTCCTACCCCTTTTGCTCTCAGGCATTGACATCTCCCCTTTGCACTCAATTGTGCTGCGTTTCACCCCACCGACAGCAGCTGCCAGTGTGGAGGATGCTGCTCCGCGCTGTGCTGCTGGACTGGAGCAGTGGTGGCAGGGCTGCCTGAAGGAGAGACCTGTCAAATTTTATGTCAAAGTGCAAATATTGTTCAATAAATTAGTAAGGAGTGTTTCTATTTCCTTGTGTTAGATGCTATTCTCCAACCGGATTAATATGGCTACAAATGAAAATGTATCTAGTTCAGGAAGGACTCAGCTATCTAACAGACTCCTGAGTCAACTTCTACATGCAGGGTTTGAAAAAGGAGAGAGCGCCCAAGATACCCTTAAAAAAGAAAAGTCATAGAAGTGTAACTCTTCATCTAAAGATGATTGTGCCTCAGGCATAGTGTGGCCCAGATGGCATCCTGAGGTCCTTCCCCAGCCCTATTTCTATTATATCTGTAATGATTTAAAAACTGGATGTGTAAAGGGCTATTGCAAAAAACTTGAAATCTGTTCATATTCAGAAACCGCGCTGGCAATCGTGTTAGGTATTCTGTCTGTCCCTCTGTGGGTTTTTATGCTTTACAGCTGTATTTCTGTTAGTCATAAAAATGTATTCTTCTCTTTCCTGTTACTCTGTGTGGGAACAATCCATTAACATGGGGGACAGGGAGCAAATACATATGGAGTATAAAAGCAAATGGCAAAATTGACTCTATGCAACAGACAGTTCACTGAACAAACTATAGGTGCTGAAGCAACAAATCTCTCCTTGGCCACTCATAGTAATCTCAGGCGCTGCTTGTTGCAGTCATGGGTGTAAAGTTTACAGACAGCGTGGCAATTTCTTGTTTGATTTTGTTTGCTCTGGTTTTCATATAAACTCAGTATCTTTTAAGGAGAAAGTTATCTTGTGCTGTGAAGGACTTGATAAGCCAATTTGGCAAAATACATACTTCCTTTTACTTCGCATCTGGAGAGTGGCAGTGGCATAAGCAGCTCTGCCTCAGCTCTGGGGATGAGTGGGTCATTCCCGTGAAGGTTTTGCCCCTGGTTCTTGTCTGCTAGGGGGATGTCTGCAGTGACTGGGGATGGGGAAAACCACCCTGGCCAGTCAGAGGCTCCCCGAGAGAGACGGGGTGTCACTGCCCATTTTCAGATGAGAGCATCTTGTTCTTTAGAAGCAATAAGCCTCTCCTTTTTCCTGTTTGGTTTCTTGTCTGTAGAAGTAGAAGGATTTAAAAAATCTCTCACCAGCAACAAAGCGTTTAGAGTTTTCAAGCCATGAAAATATATTGTTTTTTTATGGAGCCTGAAAAACCTGAAGTCAGCACGGCTTTTTGATAAGTACGAGATGCTTTGCTGCTTTGGAAATGGAAAGTCAATTAGACTGCTATAAAAATCACTGCTAAACCATTTCATTCAGTCTGTGAGTGTAAGTAAGGGAACTTAATCCGGTCAAAACAAGAGTTGTATTTGTAAAGCATTTTTCCTTGAGATAGATAGGACTTTAGCACAGAAAATAACTGAAGGAAGTGCACAAGTTAAGAACATCAGTTTTCTTTTTCTGGGGGAGGCTGGAAGCAACTTAAATCATGCAAAATAAAGGCATGGCTGTGCTGTCACAGCTGGCTTCGATGCACGCAGTGCACAGCTCAACAGAAGGAGCACCAGAGGCAGGCAGTGATGGAGGGGCTGAGCGATGCCCCGAGGTGGGGGTGCGACCTCGGTGTGGTGTAGGATGTGCGCCTGGGTGCCGACTGTATCTGCGCCTGGCTGCGAGCGCACTCATGTGCAGCTGAAGAGCTGCATGAGGCGGCCCAGGAGGAGCTGCGGTGGTTACAGGCAAAGAGGAGCCGCTTGGGAGTGTCCCACGGGCAAACGCTGACTGTACTAAATCCTATTGCTGCATCCCTTTGCTCAGGTCACGCTTGCCCTTCAGCTGGTTTGTTTGCTGCATTCAACCTGTACAAGTACTGAATGTTTAAGTTAAAAACCATTGTGAGGTGGAAGGGGGAAAGGAGTGAATTCCTGCAGTGCACGGAGGAGCTGCAAATTAAAGAGGAGTTTGCTTAATAGGGGTTTAATAGATAGTTTGCTTTAATAGATGAGAAAACATGTCCCAGACTTGATTTTTTTTTTCTCTCACTTCTGCAGGTGTAAATTAGAAGCAACACTGTTAAGTTAAATATAGCAAAAGCACCGTACAATGGGAGGTGAACCCGGCAAGGCTGTTCTTGCTTAACTGTGCCTTTGTCTGTTCTGCTGCAGCATGCGGGCCTGGCTCCGATCGCACATTCGTACTTTGCTTGTGCAGGGCAGGCTGTGAGTGGATGTGGCTGCCATCAGAAAGTTAAGGATTTAACCGGGGAGATGATCACCTCACTCTATTTGCATCTGCATCACCTGCCACATGCAAGGGAATTTGAGCTTTATTCGTTGTTCCTCCTGCCTGAGTACAAAGTCAGGGATCATGTTGTTTAACTGTTGGGTTTTTAATTCTTTTCCCAGTTCAGGGCTTGTATTTTGCTGTAAACATGCAAAAATAGCCCAAGCTTGCAATAAAAGGCTGACGTTTTAGCCACCCAGACAAGCGTGGCTTATCTGCTCACTGCCACGTGCAGCTACAGCAAGGGCCTGAAGAGACTCCGCAAGCTGTTACTTGTGCAGCTTGCATGTGGCTCTTGGCACCCACTGCTGTTAGCCATCCTGCCTGGTGGCCGTCCAACCGAGCAAAGCCAAGAACGTGTCATTATAAAAGCTCAGGCTACCCTTAACGTTGCATTGGCCTCAGCAAGGAGCTCCAAGTGGTGTCCTAGAAATGCCAGCGGTGGCCAAGGACCCTGTGGGCACAGGCATGCTGCGTGTTTTCCACTGTCCCCATGGCTTGGGCTTGCCTTAATACCATATTATCACCTTTGTGCTCTTCCTAGGCTGGTGTCAGCAGGCGGCAGACGAGCCCACCTCCCCGAAGAAGGCAAAGAACGTCCCCACGCGCCGCCGTGCAGGTAGCTGGTTCGCGGCCCCCTGCCCCGGGTGGGCCCCTGTGAGGGTCATCCCCGAGGAAGAAATGGCTGAGCACAACCTTCTTGCTATTCGAGTCATGGTAACCAGCGATGCGAGCAGGTACTTTAAACAGAAATAAAAGAGTGTGTATAAAAAAAAAAAAAAAAAAAAAGGGGGGGGGGGGGCACAAGATCAGCCTGGTTTTCTCTGGAATGTTAAGCAAAAATACTACAAAGTGTAATACAAAATACATGCACAACCAGGGGAAAAAAAAAAAAAACAAATCAGAAAAACAATTATTCTTTACTGTAGCCATAAATCCCACCAGACATATGACTCACTTTGCAGGAAATCTTCAAGCATTCACATCCCACACAGTGGCCTGAGTCAGAGAGAAAAACATTACCCTGAACAGCCCAAGTTCAGCTATTTGTTAAAAAAATAAAATAAAAGGCAGTGCAGAGATTAGAGCAGTGGTTTTGTTATGGCCAAAGGAGCATTCTGTGATGTGGCTGCCTCCTGCCTTGGGTATCAGTGTACAGCTCCACACCCCGGCTGTCTTTCTGGACGTTTCATGGCCTTCCCACTCCAAAGAAATTTGAAATCTTATGACCCTTGGAGAATTGTTGAAGGAAGTCTGATTTCTGTGTACGAATTAGAATATATTAGCTCTCTGGGCAGGATTCTGTAGGAGTTCATTCATCTTATAATAAAGGTTAGATTGATATCTTCCAAATAATTCTCATTAAGGAGAACTGTTCTTAAAAAAAAACAAAAAAACCCCACACATCCAACTGTTGCAAACACAGGGCTATTTGTGAGGAAGCTCATTCAAATTCCTGAAGTACTTTGAACATCTATTCATCCTGTTGCATACAGCTTGTTGAGAGTAATGCTTTCAGAAAAGTAACTTTTTTGCTGTAGCCTGCAGTCATTTTAAATCACATTTGTGCTCCATCACATGTATCTGGAAGTTCAGCAAGGGAAAAACTAAATCTTTTCTGAGGCTTATCTGGCACAAGGAAAAGGAGAGCTCAATGAGAGGTTTTCTGCCTCTTTGGTGGCTCTTGCTGCAGAATAGAGGTTTTCCACAGAGTGTGTATTTGTAACCTGCGCTGATGTCCTGAGGCTCTTTGGGCCTCCCCAGTGGGCAGGCAACTTGCAGAGACCCGAGTTGATGAGTCTCTCTAATCTAGCAGATCAGCTCCTTTCTGTCCAGGCCATGAAGAGGTGTCTGGTTCATATCCAGCGAGCCGCCAAGCCAGGGCGATGTTACAGCTGTCATCGGGACACCTCGTGCCAGCTCTGCTGGTATCAGCCTCCCAGTATGATGTCGGCTTGGTGGTTGCTTGCCTGGCATGCCTTTCCAGTAAGCTAGCAATCCTGTAAAAAGTGGGGCAAATGCAATAGCAAGTGACTAACAACATTCCCAGGTCTGACTGGGGCGCACTTGGTGAGACGGGAAAAATGACCAGCTAGGTGAAACAGCTTTTTAGTTCAAGCTTGAGGTACTTGTGAATAGTGAGTACCTAGCAAGCCAAGATCAGAGGACAAGCCTCATACTATAGTACTTGCCAACCAAGGGAAATAAACGTTTTGTTCTTTAAAACAGAAATAGATCAATCAATATTAATGGTAGTTCTGTTTCGTTTGTGTGGAGCTCTGCCCAATCTCCATGTGATATCTCACAATCCACAAATGATCTCAACTATCAAAGACTTAAAAGACTGTATGTGTATATATATATTTTACAATTTATTTACTGAGTCCAAACTCTTTAAAATCAGACCAGGTGCTCAGGTTAAAAAAAAAAAAAAAAAAAGGATCTGCCACTGCTAATCTCCACCCTTCCTATAGTAGTGTTGAGGGTTACTTGAAACGGTGGATGTTGAAAGAGGGTTGCACTTTAGGCCTGATATCTCAGGGAGCACCAGCGCTCCAGGGATAGTTATTTCTTGCCCCTCTAGAGAGAGGCAGAAAAGTTCAGATATGTTATTCTCAAAACTTCCCCAAACACTGAACAACATAGTTTGAAGGACACCTAAAAGGCATGTGTTAGTGGTGAAATTTAAGGCTGTGCTGAATCAGTTCTGCTGAGAGACTGGATCTGAAGCTGTATTTTCTTCATTATTAATAGGGAATTTGCTAATTACCAGATCTCTGAGCGGTGCTGATTTGATCTGGATCAAGCATGGGTACAAGACTGGCGTTTATGCTGGCTTTATACTCTCTCAAGGCAAGATCTGACCTGGTCAGGGGTTACAGTGACACAGCCAGGCAGCACCTCATCTAGGTGCAAAATTAATTCATCAGAAACTTTTTTGCTAAACTGAACCAACTGGAGTGATCTTATTTCAGTCACTGCCGCATGGCTGTGATTTGCAGCCAAGGCCTCTGTTTGAGTACTTCCTCCTCCTGTCTCTGTAGGGTTGTATCTTATGGCTGTTATAATAAATCTTTACTTTCTACAAGGCAGTGTTATTTAAACATGAAAGAGCTTTCTCCTGTCACGCCAATAGGACTACTCACTGCATAAGCTTCTCTTTCTAAGGTAGAGCTATTAATCACCAAAATAAATCTATGGATTAGGTTAGCGTTATTTGCATTAAAAATAAGCTGAGTCAGATGACGGCATACTTATTTATGACAGTGCACACATAGTCACATTGGAAGGCCTGAAAATGCATGCTTCCCGCAGTCAGCTTTTGGAGATGAAAGAAATTCCATTATTATTGATGAAAAGACTATAATCACCTGAAAAGATAATTTTTCTGCCCAATGGCAAGATCACAGTGTATATGTCATTCAGATAGATTTTTGTCCAGCATATTTTTCATTATGCTTAAGGAAGGAAATTCCAAATTTTGTCTCTGTTCAGTTGGGTAGTTTGCTGTCCTTGCTGTCAAAAAGACTTTTTCAATGGCTTGCTGAAATTAGAAGAGCTTGTGTGTGTGTATTTTGTTTTTTCTTTTCTGATAGATATCACTTGCATGTTTGAAGACTGTTCATATAGCCTCTCTGTCTTCTCACCTCTAGACTAATATCTACAATTTTTCCAACTTTTTTTCCAAAGAGCTGTTTTCTAGGCCTCTGGTTATTCTCACTCTTCCCCTGCATGCTCTCTCCTTATCCTCGTCCCTCCTGATCTGCAGTGCCCAGTAATGGGTTCAGGAGTGTGTAGGGCCAAGCACAGCCACAAAATTACTTTATGTGCCTTTATGTGAATGAAAATGAGGCTGTTGGCTTTTAAATTTAGAAGTCACTGAAATAAGTATAGGTGGTTTCAGCTCAGTACCAAGCACAAGGTGATCTGTCATCTCAGGATCTGAAATGGGTGGTTCTGTGCAATTTCTTGTTTCTGAGATGGGTTCCCTCAAACTGCTGAGTGCAGTGAGAGCTTTGCATCCCAGCAGCATTTCCTGACCTGCCTCATCTCTATTTTCTGCCTGTGGTGCTGCACAGGCACCACCTCTCAGGAGCAGGGCCGTGTCTTCGCCTCTAGCAGCATGCCAGGCACTTGGCGGTCAGCCACTGTTGGCGGCGCAAAGAGAGTTAATCCCAGCTCCTGAATGGGCAATGAGACAAGATGCAATGATAACCATGCTTAATTTACATGTGAAGCCTGCTGGGGAATTGGGGTCAGATCCCCTCGTGGGTTAGGGCCAGCCCCTACTCGGTCGTGCCAGGCACGCTGGCATTGCTGCGTGGCCTCAGACCAGCCGTCCTGGGAAAAACTGTCTGGTGAGACAGCTGAGGCCTCCCAAATCTCCATGGACAAGCAGACATGCTGAAATGTTGCTTTTCTATTTTACACCATCTTTTAAGCTAAAATTTTCTGTGCAAAATGTCAGGCTAAAACTGGGGATGTGTTAGTGTAATTTGATACTCTTTGTTAGCATCTACTTTCATTTATCAATCACCCAATAGCCTGTCCTCCAGCTAGGTCCTTACTGCGTGCAGTTTTGTGTTCTAAATCTGTTAGCAGGAAAAAGGTGAAAAGTACAGAATATTGAATGTTGTGCCTTGCTTCTAGACTGATTACTGCTTTGAAAGTGTCTACATTTCCCTTTATTTATATTGATATAGTCGTGCAGGAAGATGAGCTTGTCCACATTGACAGGATACTATTGTAATTCAAACCAAGCCTCTCTTACTGGCAGTTTGATTTCAGGAACTGAATCAGGTTAACAGAAATCTCATGGGGATATAGATATCTCAGGTGTGTAACATCTGCAGCAATTTGCAGTCTTGTAACAAAATGAGAAACCAAAATGAGGACCTGGGGTCTGGCTGCAGAGCATCTATTTGCCTTGCACCCACCACTGCCAGGGCTGGTGCTGGTTATTGAATTAGAGCTGAGTGGATGCCTAGGTACTGTGCGTTTTCTGAAATGTCACACTTTGTCTGTTTGTCTCTCCCTGCTTTTTCTTCTTTTGCAGCTCTGAGCTGGAGCCCGATGTCAGTGGCGACTGGTCGAGCTCAGAGGTGGGCGAAGGGCCCACGGCCCCTGTGAGCCCCACGAGAAAGGGGGCCATGCTGGCTGGCAGCTCGGCTGCGGCAGAGGAAAGCCGGAAAACATCCAAAGTCACCGATGGTAAGCAATGTCCCGACCTGGGGTGCTCTGCCGACATAGCCCAAAGTCGGTGTTTCTGAGGGAGGTTTTAGAGCAGAGGCTGTTGCTGGCATTATCAGTAGCTGCTGCCTTCGCTCTCGGGGTTTTCTGCCCTCTCAGTGCTGCAGTGACTTGGACAGGCTCCTTTCTTTCTTCTTTGCTGATCGCTTGCATCCTAAGAACTTGAGCTTATTTAGGTCTGATTGTATTAAGACAGTCTTAAGAAATGTTTGTTTCCAAGCCCTACTGCGTGGTTTGTTTCTCAGAAATGTGCAGTCGCACGACCGCCAGACTGGTATCAGCTCCACACAGCTATATTGAAGCAGGCAGCATTTTAGTAGCACAAGGTTATCTGGAACAGTTCTGCCCCGTGCTTACCTTGTAGGGGTGTGAGGACTATTCTCCTGCTTATAAAACTTTTGGACGTTATTGTCAGCGTATGCAGTACGTGTGCTGTTGCCTAAGCAAGAGTAATTTTAGGAGAGCTCTGCTTAGTTAAATTTATATTCAGATCAATAGCTGCTTGAAATTTTCATAGCTGCTGAAAAACACAATAAGGAAAGGATATAACTAGTGGGGAGGCAGTGAGGGGTTTAGGAATAGTCTGCCTCCAGATAGAAACTCCCTTCTGGAGTTTGAGAAAGCCAGCACTGGAAGACATGCTACAAACAGAGCCAAAGAAGAGCGCTCGCAAGAAGCGAAGACTATCCTGTTTTACGACTACACAGTGATGTTTTGAAACTATGGTTCATTTTATGTTTCAGAAAGCTCATTCAGAGCTTTGCCAGGCTCTGGCTCTGTTGTTTTTCCCCCATGTGAAATGCCCAATTCCTTTGATTTGTCCTCGCACAAACTGCCTTGGTCTGAGTTTTGGGTAATGCTGAGAAGTTGCTGAAAGGGCTATTGTACAGCACTGACTTGGTCTTCCCTCGTGCAAGCTGCCTTCTGCCAGGCTGGGCTTCTGTGATGGAAGAACTCCAGAAAAGCCACCAGCATTCATCTCTTCCCATTTCCCACCCACTGCCCCACATCTGTATATGCATTTTTAATCCAAACAGAAAAGAGGGGATTTCATACACTTGTTTAAATTGGCATTTGAATAAAGAGGCCTTGTTTAGTGCAAAAAGGGACAGCAACGGACCCCCACAAAGCATGCCCAGCAGCATGTGACCCCATGGGATGACTGAAGTGTTTTATTCTTTTTCTTTCATAGCTTCATATTATCCTCACCCCTAGCTGCTAAAGTCACCTTGCTCTCCACCATGCCAGTCAGGTTATCTGGATCCCTTCGTGAGCATCCTGTCTCTTAGCTCTGCATCCTCACACAGCTGTGTAATAACATCCCTAACTAGTTCTTTCCTCTCTGTCTGCCCACTCTCCTGTCTGTCTGTCTCCCTCCCTTTCTCCTCGTGCTGGCTCACCTGAGAAAAGAGGCAGTGTCCTTTGGGAGATAAGTGAGAAGAAACACATTAACTCTTTTTTGGGTATCTCTATTATAATATGCCTGCTTGAACGTTTATTTTTAGGGGCTGGATCATGGGAAGGATTGCTTCATTTTTAAAAGGGAGTGAGCAAAACCAAAAATAATGGAGTCTGCTTTCGTCCTTTTCACAGTGACGGTGCAGGCACATGAGAAAACACGACCACAATAGAAATGACCCAAACGGTACAAAGAGGCTCCTGTGACATAAGCGATTCAGTAGAAGTTATTTTTAAGTAGAGCATCAGACGAGATGATTTTCCTTGCCCTGACCTCAGGCTTTCATTCTCCAGGACTTTCTGAACTCTGTGACTGGCACTTGTTGATGAGTGTTGCCATCTCGTGGTTAAACAGCCATGGTTTTAAATGCACCTGTGTCAAGTGACGGTTGAAGGGGAATTCAAAATTTTGCATGGGGAAATAAATTAATGGAGCAAGTCCTGTTATCCTATTTTTTGATCTCGTAATAGAGGCTGTGGTGGTATATGACCCTTTAGGTAAATGAGAATTGGAGAATAAAGGCAAAAGTTTGATTTCATTTTAATAAATCTTTAGATCTGTGCCTTCTTAGGATTTCCTTTCCCAGGAGGTATCACAGACACAGGTGGCAGTCGAGCCAGGGTGGTCTGGTGCGCAGGGGTCAGCGCTGCACAAGCTGGCGCCTCCGTGGGCTGCTTGCTTTGGGCATGTTTCTTCAAATGCTGTTATGCAAAGACAAATCCCCTCTTTTTTTTTTTTTTTTTTTTTTTTTGTGTTTGGTTTTTTTTTTTTTTTTTTGTTGTATGTGCTTGGTTAGTTTTGCTATATTAGCTGACAGTGTCTCTTTACTGTTTCTGTTCAGCACTACAGAGAGCCAACAGTTTTCATTCCTCTGCATTAAATAAGTATCAGAATTGGAGAAGAAAAATCCAAACGAGTGAGTAAAGCCTGAGAAGTAATTGTATCTTCTGTTTGTACCACGTCCTGTTTTCCTTTCTCTCAGATGCCTGTTTCCTCTCTTTCTTTCCAAGTTTTGTATAGTTGAGTCATTAGAAGAGGAAATGGAGATCTAAAATGCAACAAATATCTCTTTCTTCCATTTTCTTTTCCTGAAAAGAGCAAATTCCCTTCTTGCATGATTATCCCTTAGGTTATTACCTATTGTTACGCTGAATAAGGTCATCCATATGTCCATGTTTAATACTTACTATGTTTCCTGTTCTTTTGCTGTTGTAACACCCAGAGAACAAGCCATTAAGTAAATCCGTCAGTGACTCTATGACAAATTAACAACTCCCTACAATTTGATCTTTTGTATAGGGAAGGCACAAACTAATGGCAGCGCAAGTCTGTATTCACTTTTATGTGAGCCGTGCACAATTTGAACACGCCTGCCCCAAGCCAGTTTGAAGCTTAGAGAGGACACAAGGTGGAGAGGAGAAGCTGCAGGAGGGACCCAGGACTGCCGGGTGCTGAGCGTTTCTCTTATTCCTGGTCAAATGGGCAGAAAACCCATCAGGCTTCATTTAACTTCTTTTCTTCCCTTGTCACTGATTGCTTTTGATGAGGCTCAGCAATAGATCTGATATTTTGATTATAGTGTTAGAAATTTTCCTGGAGGTGCAGACTTGGTCTGTGCTGGCTCCACTTTGGGAAGGCAGTGTGGGCACCCGAGCCCCTCACAGGGGGGCTGCATCCCAGCCCTCTCCCTCTTAGGATCCAGCCGCTTGCTGTGAGCCTCACCAGCTGCTAATACTGTTTTTCACCAGCTCATTGCTTGGGATGGCTGTTAGTGTCTCTACAGGCAGGTTGGGCACACAGGGCTGCCCAGGCGCCCAGCCACCTGCAGTGCCAACGGCGGAGATGCCCTTAAAAAAGTCACTGTTGCATCTGCATCAGGCTCAGGACTGCCTCTGAGCACTGCAGACCATTTGGGGTTGGGTTTAAACATCATGCCATGGTTTCAGCAGAGGCTGGAAATTAAAATCTTGCCTTAATTGATCCAGGACTGAAAAAGAAAGGCAGACTATGAGAGAGGAAAGAAAAGAAGATTGGGGTAACTCTTAATTTCAAGTAATTTTCAGCTCGTTCTCAGCAAGTATATTACTTAATTAAATGTTTGCCAATTAATTTTGCCTTCATTTTAGTAAAATCTTTCGTGTGCTCCCAGCGGTCTCTAGAGGGAGCTAAAGGTCTTTGAGAAGGAAGTTGTAGACTACAAGAATTCATCAAAGCCTCAAGTATGCTGTTAAAATAAGGTGTAAAGTACTTTCAGCGTTTGCTGGGAGCAGGATAAGGGCATTTTTTGCTCTCTGGGAGGAGCTCTGTAAGGCTTTGTTTCTATATATAATCCACTTAATATTTGGTTACAAGAATTCATATGATCATCAGTCACACTGAAGAAAAATCTGTCTCCTTTTCAGACTTATTTCCCTAAACATACATGTTTCATAAATAGCACAAGATACAGAGCCAGGAAATCAGTATCATTTTTGTACTAACTGAAAGAATGAAAGATATTACTTTCCACAACCTTTAATCCCCTGTCTCTCAGCCATAGAGAATTCTGCACTTTTCAATTGTTAATTGTTGGTCATCACAAATAGCTTTTGTGCCAGGAAGATTTTGATAATGCCCTAAGGAATTAAAAAAAAAAAAAAATCATGTTTTGAGTGTGTGAAGCTGCAAATACAGGTTCAGAGTCTTGATGGGAATAAATCAGTGCATCTCTCTGAAAGACAGCAAACTGTGACTTTACGCTAACTGATGTTGTATGTGTAAGCCCACACATCCCGGAGAGCTTTAGTAGGAAACAGTTTTTCCCCATTGGCCTAGGCAATTCTCCTATAGGCTCCTGAGATGTGGAATTTAAGCCTTTACCGGCATTATGATTGTCACTGCTGAAGCGGCTAGATTTCCCTTCAGCGTGCTAAGCAGTGGTATTTGTCCATGCTAGGAGGCAAAGGGCTTTAGAGGACTGGATGAAGACCACCATATATATATATTTTTTTTTACCTCAAATTCTGAATTCTCTTATTTTCCTGTGGCTCAGTTCACTATAAGGAAATTTAAATTGCACAGAGGAAAAAAACAATTTTCTCTGTTACGTGTAGAAAGGCCTCACCTGGATGCTACTTCTCTCCCTGGTTTCACTAATGGTGCACAGGAGAGGTTTCACTTGCAGAGCCAAGAACGGGGCCCTGGACAGGACAGTTTCAGGAACCACAGGAGGATTTTTATCCACAAGGAACAGAGTTACACACTGCAGATGAATCACAACAGAAGACAAATTACAAAGTATTTATTATTTGAATTACAGAATCACAGAATCATTTAGGTTGGATGGGACCTCTGGAGATCATCTAGTCCAACCTCCCTGCTCAAGCAGGGTCCTCTAGAGCATATTGCCCAGGATCACATCCAGACGGGTTTTGAATATCTCCAGCAAAGGAGACTCCACAATTACAGCAAACCTTAGAAACTTCTACAGGGTCAAAGCCCCCCAGTGTTAGTGGGGTGCTCCATGTGTCAGGGAGGAAGATCACAGTGCTGCAGGCCACTTTGGAAATGTCACAAGGGGGAAAGGAAGCACTGGAGCGAGGGGTTGCTTTCACATTAGGGAATGAGAATTGAGGTAGAGATAGACCATGAAAATGAAGATGGAGTATCTCAAATTTGATCCTATTTTCTTAGAGGACCATTACAGGACTTTCTCAATGTGATATCTGAAATTATTTGAAGGGTTTTTTTTTGTTGTTGTTGCAAATTTATTGCTAAAATATTTAGAAAGCAAGAACAGGAGCAGATTAGAATTGTGGTATCCCTCTTAGCTGGGTAACAAAAATTTAATGTGTCTTTGTTCAACCTCTTTTTGCCGGTGTCTGCTGGCACTGGTCTCTTGATGAATTCCAGCTCATCACATTCCTCAGTTCTTGACTTAAGATAACAAATTTCATCAAGATTGGAAGCAAACAGGTGAGATACTGAGGTGAAAGGAAACATGGCCTCTTTTCCTTCCCTTTTCCGAAGCCCACATGAAAGAACTGTAGGTCATTTTCCTGGTTTGCAGCACCCCCATGTACTCTATGTCTCTGATGTGTGGCTTTTGCCCTTACATGGCTTTTAATCTCCATGTAGAAGAACCGGAGTTTGCATTGTGAATCTTTTGGGGTTTTAGAATTAATAATTGTGTTTCAGACTTAATAATTCAGCTATAAATATACTTTCCATGTTAAAGCTTGGCATGGTAATATCTTGGCCCATATTTTTGCTTTGTTCAAAGAATATTTATTATGCGAGATGCACATGTACACAAATATTAGCAAGCTCTGCTGACTCTGTTCAGGTGCAAGTTACCTACCTACTCTGTCTTACAGCAAGTCCAAGTTTGTCTGTGCCAGTTTTAATTCAAGACCTTTAGCAATTAATTAACTTGCCTGAGTGTAGAAGAGCCCTCATCCTGCTATCCATTAGCCTGGCTTATAACAGAGGCTGTAAGATTATTTCTGGTCTTTACTGCCCATAGACAGTTATTTCTCACTTCTTTCTCATTCTGGTGGGCAATGTTTGGATGAATTGTCTGTGTTTTTTTTTTTTTTTTCATTTTTCAGAAGTAACCAAAGCTTCAAAAGTACCTGGTTATTTTGACTGCCTGTGTGTTTAAGGTGCTTTCAGAGATTAAGAGGGCTGCATATTCAGATAGCTTCCTGAAACTCTAAAGCTGCTTCACTTCATTCAGCCAAAAAAAGCAAGCAATTCAGGCCCTCCTCTGGAAATGTCAACATGTGTCTTGTCTAGTGTGCACGTATATGAGTGAGGATATAAACTCCATTATTCTAGTTCAGCTTTTCAGGGTAAAGCTGTAGCCAGATGACTCTTTAATTTTTTGCTTTCATTCGTTAACTGCAAACTTTACTTAAGGCAAAAATAATATGAATGTAATGGTGAAATTTGTCTGTCTTTGGCAGATTTTCCTCTACTGTCTAGCAAGAAAACTGGGCTGCATTTGAAGGAGAGCTTGGCCAGCTGTGAAAGTGCTCTCAGAGATGATCACTCCCAAACACAGGTATGAAAGAAAACTGTGTAGAGCCAAACAAATGTAACAGTTATTGGTACCTGCCTGCTCTCAGCAGGTCATCTGAGCATCCTCCACTCTTTCAAGTAGCTTTGGTCCTCACGGTAGTCCACTCCCGTGGGCCTTGGGGGAGTGATTCTGCGAGCCAAGGTAAGTCAAGAGCCGTGCAGTGCTGGCCGTAGGAAATGTGGGCACAGGGCACTGGGGGGGTTTTAGGCTATTGTGGCACATAGACATTAGTGTGCATGTGTCTGATGTTCAGGATTCGCTTCCAGAGGGCAGAGGACTTATTTTCCTGTATAATTTGCAGCAGGCCCTTGACTCCAAATCTCCCACAGCTCAGGAGCACCTTCAGCTTCCTTCAGGATCTTGGCTTGCCTTTGTATTTTCTGTGGGGTTTTTTTTGTTTGTCTGTTTGTTTGTTTTTAATATGAGGAAGGGCGGGCCTGCTGTAAGTGCTGCACCGCAGGCAGGAGTCATGAGTGATAGTCCTGACTGAGGAGAGGTCAGGCAGAGCAGGGACCAGCCCAAGTCCTCGGCTGTTGTCCTCGCCCTCAGGTTAAACATGATGAAAATTGCTTGACCTCAGGGTCTGCATTATAAAAAATGAAGTTTTGCACGTCTATGGTGCCGGTTCAAAATCCGGTCCAGGACAATGGGGCCAGGAAGCTGCAGTCCCATGAGAGCAGAGCAGTACAATACTGCATGCTTGTGCTGCGCAGGAGGGAAGAAAACTCTGCATGTTGCAGCTTCCACTCTACAAGCAGCACCTAATAGCCTTTTTCTTAGTCTAAAGAGAGAGGATTAAGAGAGTGTGTGTTTGTTTATTTGTGTTTTTCATGTTTTTATCTGAGATCCTGGCCAATATTAAAATTTTAGTCATCAAATACAACTGTGAAACAGGGAGTAATTGTTATTGCTTTACTTCCTATGCATCTAAGATATGAAAAGACAGACAGATTAATGGCTTTACTCATGTGCATTTGGGATTCTGGACCTAAGTGGAAACAAGAATTAAATCTTAGAACTATCCATGATCACATAGCATTGAGAATGAAATTCCTCACTGTTAAGAAAGAAAAAAACCCTCTAGCTTTTGGTCTGCTGACTAGATAATTTATCCTTGATACTGTCTTCAGTCACTGAAGATTCCAGGGCTAAAAGAATGAATTTTAAATCTTCACCAAAAAAAAAAAAAAATTATAAAGCCTAACTGAATTATTTAAAACTACCACCTTGCATTTTACTCATTTCTGGGTCACTTTGGTCATTCCTACCTGCGCTATGTATACATGCAATACTATGAAAACAGTTGGAGATGATGGATTATGGTCTCTTGTGCTTGCTGTAAACTCTAACATGATGCAACTGAAGTGCACACAGGAGAAGAGAGTAGATCTGCTTTTGTTTATTTTCCTGTAGCTAAGACTGTTTCTTTCCAAGGAAAAATACTAAAGACAATTCATAACGATATGGCATACTCTTAGCATGAATTACGTTTTTTAGACTGCTAAAATTTCCAGTAGCATTAAATCTCCACTCCTACAGAAATATTAGCTCTTTAGGGAGAAAATCTTTCCTTCTTCTTACATTATCATTTACTTATTTGTGTGTGTATGTATATATAAAATATTGTGTATGTCAGTGTTATGTTGAGATTGAAATTAAGATTAAAACATTGTATGAAATGAAAGATATAGTGAACTGTATTTTCTACCACTAACATCACTTTTCCATACACTTGACAGTTGGCTTCTTACAAGAAAACACCGGAAGTTACAAGAGGGCATTTCAAGCCCTACAGCCCAGTATTTCAAAGAAAAGAAAAAGCCAAAGAGATGCCTGAAGATATTCGTCTCTATGTGCCTCATTGTCCATTTCAGGGAAGTGCGAGATGTTCTTCACTGACACCTCCTGGGAATGAGACACTGGCTGCTGATTTTTCTGAGCCTGAAGATATAGATGGTGATGCTGGGAAACACACAGCCCAGGACTGGAATGAAAAAACCCAGGAATATACCTCTGAACCAGAAGATTTTAATAGGAAAGCAAAAGTGCTGTCATTTGCAGATTTGGAAGAAAAAAATGAGAAAAGTACAAGGCACCCAAAAGAAAAGCTTGAGCAAGAATTAAAGGATGCAAAAAGGAGGATAACTAGGAGGTTGACACTTTGCGCAGAACAGCAACCCATGTTACATGATTCAAACGGGGCAGACTTGGGTGGAGCCAGTCTAGGGTATCAACACAGAAGAGCGATGGGGATTTCAGAGGAGAAGGATGCTGCCAGGAGAAAAGATGTGTTCAAACCATCTGGTTGTCCTGTGCCTCTTTCACTTGCAAATGGTGCTCTGCTAGCTTTGCCAGGTGACACGAAAGGTGCTCGGGGGAGCCTGGATGCAGCTGCCAAAGAACACGTGGCCTGCCAGCCTAGATCACCACTGAGACTGATTGCCAACGCCATAAGGAGGTCCATTCTGGAGCCCCTAACCTCTCCCCCAGAAGGGCTAAAGCAGAACTCAGGCAGCAAAGCCAAAGCCTCGCCAGAACAAGCTTTCTTCACCTTCCCTAATACTCTTGGCCGTTCCCTAACCCAGAGGAACAATAATAGAGATAATAACATGCAGCTGCAGGAGCTTAAAGTAGGGGAGCAGGCAGGAAAATATTTAGGACATGGGAACCCAAATCCATTTCATTCTTCTGTTGTCTCTAAAGAGATATCTCCAAGGGATTACACCGAGGAGGCAACCTTTCCAGTCTACAGCCCTCACACCATGCCTTCCATGATGGCGAGTAAACCTCAGAAATCACCTTGCGCTGCTAGGATGGAGGATGTCCCAGGACTTCTGGAAAAGTTTACCTTTCAAGAGACTCCTCCAAGGGCTCCTGTGGATGACCTCTTTGTTTATAATGAAAAATACCTCCTTGTTTCAGCCCCAGAACCCAATAACACCACCTCCAAAGACAACCTGGATGCTTCTGCACAGAAGAATACTCTTGGGACGTTCTTTGAAAGATTGAGAAGTAAAGTCAATGAAAGAGAAGGGAATTCCTTCATGCCATCTATGCCTTTCACTAAGGACCTTTCTCCAGAGGACAGACTAAATTATCCTTCCACAGGTGAGGACCTGAGTAGGATTATCTATTTCTGGTAATAGCACTTAATATTTAAAGGACGTGTGTGTTATCATTCAAATCCATTTCTACTGAACAGGAATCGTTGCTGCTGTGACATTGAGTGTATTGTGAAAGGGGGAGTAAAGCGGGCAAGCGGAAGGACTAGCACTGAAAACTATAGCGTGAAGTATATTAACTGTAAGTTAGCCAGCTCAGGTTGTGGAGCAATATAGCTACAATAACAAAGGGCTTTGCTCTGTGCGTCTGCTTTCTCAGCAGGTGTCTCTTCAGGTCTGTATGCGCTCTTAGGGATCATACTGCAGATATACTTGTGGAAGCTTTGTGGTGTCATTAATATCCTCTTGTTCTTTTATTCTGAGAGGAGAAAGTACCTTATTGACCTACTCTGACCTATTCGTGAGTCTGTTACTTTGGACAATGATTAAAAGGCATCAATTTTCATGTTTGTTTGCAAAAGCAAGATTAATATTAAAATTGCAAATGAGGCTAAGAAATACTGATGTCAGATAAAGAGCAATCTGAGTCATCTGAGCGTAGGCTTGGAAAGAATTAAGTGCAGCAAAGTTTCAGGTAGAAAATAAGAGCTATGAGAGTTGCGCACACCTGTCCTTCTGCCTAACCCATCTTTCCATCACCCCCGCTATACAAAGTCACAGTTATTTAACTCAGTAAGCTACTGAATTTTATTGACGTACCCATTTGTGGCTTACCTTATTAAATTGTAACCCAAACTACATCATTAAAATAATAATCTGTATGTAAAATAATGCATGTACAAAGAACAGAGAGTATGTGAAGCCACAGAGATGTTTCCATTTAGCTGCCAGCTCCTCTTTGTGTATCCTTTCTGCTTAACTACTACTACATACAGTGAGGAAGATATCCTCACTGTACATGAGAGACTGGATCTGAAGCTCATTGAAATCAATATCATAGCTCCCACTCATTTTTGAATCAGACTTCTGGAGCATCCTTTATCTAACTCCTCAGAAAACGAGGAATCCCCATTGATCTAGAGGACACTAAGGACTGCACTGAACTGAAAGACAGTTGCTAGTGTTCACACTTCTCACAGTATGGACTCAAGACAGGATGCTTTTTTTTTTGACTCTACCGATTCATCACCCATCAACTAAGCAAAGATGACTTGCTTTTAACTAAAGGTATTACATCATATGATATGTTGTATTCCTAGCAAAATGGAAAATGTTTTTGTTTTGAGTACTGCTATGCTTTACTTATATTTAAAAGTTTATGAAAAACAGGGTAACATAATAATATATTGCATTCCTCTGCTGTGCAAGGATTTTTTTTTTTTTTAAAGACTTCCAACACCTTGCAGAAATCAATTTAGTGGCAATCTTTCCTCATCTTCCTTCTGACTCCAGTAGAGTTTTTCTGTCCTGTTTGGGGCCGGACCCTCTTATTCTGTGCAGGGATGGTTGGTCTTATGTTACCCAGGTGATTCTTCCCTCAGTAGGCAGTTGGCTTGTGAAGCTAAAGAGTGATGTGAGTGATAAACATGGGGTTATGTGTAATCCGGATGAGACTGGGCAAGTTCATGAAAGAGAAATCCACTGAGGATTAGATAAATGCTTAGATTAGAAACCACATGCAATTCAGAAAGTTCCTGAGTTGAAAATGCTTGGAAGCTGGGAGAATATTAAGGGGAGGAATCACCTGTGATGGCCCAGTGCAAATAATGCCCCCTTAGACACCCGCTGCTGGAGGCAGAACGTGAGGCTAGAGGGACCTTCAGTCTGACCCTGCACGACTACTTTTATGTTCTGTTGCTTGTCTTTCCCTACACTTTGTTTCAGTTTCTCCATCTCCAGATACGCATCCTTTCCATCAGCCTTTCCTATGCCGATGGCTTCTGCACTTCAGACCCATTGTCCAAACCAAAGCTGTGTTCTGTCCTCCTGCCGTCTTCTGCTAAGTGATCAGCCATCAGCTAAAGCTCAGCGTGCTGAAACAGAGGTCCTAATTACTCACAGCCGATCGCCCGTCACTCACTTTACCTTAAGTTCCACCCTCAGAATCGATCAACCTAGGTCCGTATATCCAGGCCTGGTCTAAAGACTTTCTGGCTAACACTGTGCTCTGTTTTAAGAGCACTGTTCCTCAGAGACACTTGGAAATTTGGGGCTGTGTCTGCCAAGACTACCTGCATGGGACCTAGGACAATCCTCACTGAAATAATGGGACTTCATGCACTGATTTCAGTAAGCCTTTTGTGTTTTAAAACAGAACAAAACAAAAACAAAACAAAACTCGTAACTATGTTTGCCTGTAGAATATAAACATGCCACCAAATAGCCACACTTAGTTTTCTAGGTGCAATTCAAGTTTTTTGATTTGCTGCACAAGTATCTTTGAGGTTTTTGCTCTTAGATTCTTTCCTTTAGGACTCCGGTCTGCACTTTAAAAACATATATAAAAACATATATATATACACACATATATATGTTTGATAATCACATGGCTAACTGACCTATCTTGAGCCAACTTGCTTTTTTGAAATCAAAAAATATGCTGAAGCCAAGTGTTGTGTTAGTCACAAGGTCATTTTTAGGTGCTAAAAATTATTAATACCACAGGGGAAAAAAAAAAGAAAAAGAAAAGAGAACTAACCGACTTGTATGAGAAAGCTGTGGTCAGCTGAGTGTTTCTTTTCTTGTACTGATGTGTATATGTGGTAACCAGTTGTTGGGTATGTTTTTAATGAGACACAAACGTAGATCCAGGATTTAGTTTACTTTAACTTACAGACAGACCTACTAAAGATCTGCCCAAGAAGGTAATTGTTTATTGGTAGGTTCTGGTGACTCATGTTTGCTTCTTGGTAGTCATGAAGAACTAGAAGAAATATTTGTGTCACTGACAGAGCAGGAAAAGCATGAAAACAGTCTTAGAAAAATCACTTAGATTGGATGAGAGTTATTATAATATAATACTTAAATTCGCTATTTGTGTAGCAGCAGAAGATGTTACAATTCATAGTGCTTCTCAGGCTCAGTGCTTCTCAGTGTCGGGCAGTAGGTTCAAGGCCTTTTGAGACAAGTGGGAGTTAGGACTATGTTTTGTTTACATGGCTAATTTAATTAAGCAGAACTACCAGTTCAGCTGATAAGAAACTAAGATATGTTATGAACCCAGTTTGTTGAATTTACCCAGTTTCAAATTAAAAAGGGATTACTTGCTGACATTTTAGATTCAAACCTGGCTCCCATTACCTCATCTTTGCACCGTTGGAAGTCTTTGTGTTTGCAGTATTCTTGCCTGCTGGGACACAGTTACCCCAGTGATTTTTTTTTTATTTTAGAACAGGACTGAGACTTGGGAAGATAAAGTTACATACCTAAGACCACGTAAGATATCTCTGCAGAAGCAGACATATGAAGCCGAACAGCTAAGCCCGTTCTTGGTTTCTGCTGGCTGTTCTTCTCATCTCCTACCCAGTTTAAACTCCTTTCTGGTTTCGTGACACCAGCACCAGCACAGTAGAACAGCGCCCTGAGAAATAGGTGTAGTTTTGCCTCTCTCTTTTGTGAAACGCTGAAGTGTCCGTAATTAGCTTCAACAACCTTAAAACATTTGCAGTCTTGGGCACTTACAGAAGAAGCTGAGAAATTAGTGTATAACACACTACTACTAGAGTGCTTACTCTCTGTTCCAGCAGTTTCTGTGTGTTCAGACTGCAGCCGTTGCTGTGACATAACCTACTCCAGGAGACATAGGGGAACTGTGATCTATATTGTTATGGCAGTGGTGTTTTTCCATATACATCTTGAGAACAATTGGTTGTGCTCCCCCATCTAATGGAAGTTACTACCTTTTAAATCTGTTTGTATGACACCACCTTATTTGTTCAGAGGATCTCAAATTTCTTAGGAAAAGCAGTACCTTAGACCTATATATTAAGGGGGGGGATTCTGAGAAGCGCTTAACTTTGATCCGGTTGCTCCCACTGAATTCAGTGAGGGTTTTACCACTGGCAGCACCCAGTGGCAGAGCATTTGGGCTAAAGCAGGGTGTCTTTGAGGCCCACCCTTAGATAACCAAGGTGTAAGGAACTGGCCATAGGAAGAAATTTTAATTCTATAGATGTCCTTTATCTAGCATCTTATGACATATGTGCGTGAGGACACCAGGTCCCAATGTAAAGAATTGGATGTTTCCTACAACTTGGTACTTGGAAACATATTCTATGATACTATCATATTCGATAACATGGATTACTGTTCACTTTCCTGTGATTTGGCAGCTGTAAATCAGGCATGCTGGGAAGGTCTCTTGCCCAAGCTGTTAGTAGCTACTGTAAGGTAGAAAAGTCAGAAAGGATTAGTAAAGATTTCAGCGATATGTGCTGTGAAATCTGTATGCAGTTAAGTGTGATAGAAACCCCAAGTAACTTGTCAATACACACAGCTAGACCCTTCACGTGCAGTGTCACTGAGTGGTTTCATGTGCTCCTTCCCATGGCCTTTGCAGGAGGAGAAGACCCCTTTGAAGGACGTTGCTGTTCACAGTCGGAGAGCAGCTGTCCTGCAGGAGTAGGGGGATGGCCTCCCTTGAAAGGCTGAGCTGGTTTTGAACTATCTAAAGGGCTTTTCTCAGTGGAGTAGGAGGCAAATACCTGGCACTCCATAGCAGATGTGCGTTGTGAGGGCTGTGGACGTTGTGAATCCACTTCGTGCAAAGACGCTGACTTCCCTGTGCTCGTGAGGCATCCCTTGCCCTAAGTCCTTTGGGAGGTCGGTGACCTTCCCTCTGCTGTAGAAAAGCAAGCATCTCCTGAGTCACGGCCCCAGAGAAGGAGGTGGGTGCTCCGATGTTACAGCACACTGCCTTTCCTCTAGACCTTGTAACACTTTCTAAATTATTGATGTTGCTCAAAGAGGAGGACCTGGGGAAACAATCATTTACTCCCACAGCCGAGAGAAGAAAGGGAGCGTGTGATTGTGCTGCTGGCTCTCCTGGGGCATCTCATAAGGCTTACTGGCCGTGTACTGGAGGACTGGGTTTCCCTGGCAGCGTGGCTGCAGCATAGCTCCTGCCCACGTTTAGTTATGTGGGGAGGAGCACGGTGGATGAGTTAAGTCCTCCAACGAAAGCGGCTGCAGGTCCCCCACGCCTTCCTCCACCTCCGGCGCTGGTGGGGACTGGGATGTGCTTGTGGCTGGCAGCCCTGCTACATCCGCCCGTGGCCCCTCTGGCAGCCGCAACCCAGCGTAGGAGTCCCTGGTGGGTGCTGGGGTGGGCAGGCAGCACCTGCCAGTGCTGCGGTTTGGCCTGGGGTGCTTGGGGACCAGCCTGGTACCTCTGTCAACGCCAGCGCTGCTCACCCTGCTTGCTAGCAGCGCTTGGCTTTGCTGCCCGAGGATCTGCTCTGCAGGACGGGTGGCAGGAGCCTGCTGCTCTGCCGAACCCTGCGGGCTTGCAGCTTTATGGAGAACGAGGACTCGGTGTTTCTAGAATAGAGATAGATGAGAAAAATCAGAACTCCCACCTCAAAATACTTGGATTTGCTTTCACTGAATGTGTTTCCTGGATCCTAATTTAAAATTATGGTTTGAGACAGAAATCCAATTTCAGGATTGGGATCCTGAAAGAATGAAGAAAAGTTTACACAGAGTAGGTAGGGATTTAAATCTGCATGCAACTTACATACAGAAAACCAACTGTTACCTAGCAGATACTAAGAAAAGTGGCACTGATGGTTTTAAATAATGTACATTTCCAAGATGTTACCCAGATGTTAATCATTAACACTGTAGCAGGTTGAAGTGTAGAGACAGATGTTCCAAGAGCAGTTTTATTTTCTTAAAGAGAATGAGGCTATGAATTAGACAAATTAAGAAGAAATTCAAATATTTACACCCAGTTGAAACAAGATGTTGGGAAAACAGGCATGATAAAATTGCTGCAATTAAATGTAATTTAATTTATAATTTTGAAAACATGCTTCTTCCAAAGACAGCTTTTGAGTTTTCCTTGAGGAGTGCATTGTTGTGATGTATGGATTTTCCTGACTTATTATGGCATTTTAATCAACAGTTCAATGATGTGATAATATTCCTAAAGCAGAAAAATAAGTGACGTTTGTTTAGACATAATTAATGAAATATTTATGTTGCATGAGGCTGTGTGATAAAACCTTGTTCTCTTAGTCCATTTGCTTCTGATTACATTTGTGATTTTTTTTATATGACCAGACATTCTGACGCCAACTATTTTACACTGAGCAGATGTCATGTAGTAAAAATGGGTGCCAGATGCTACAAGCCACATAAGGGTAATTTGTTTAAGAGCTGGCTCAGACTTTTTGCATTCAATTACACTGTATAGTGAGCCTTACACAATCATTTAGGTAATATGGCTAACTTCAGATATGCATTTTAATGAATGTTGAATGCATTCAGAACAGCATGTTGCATACATGGAGCTTAAGGACTTAATTGATTTGTACCTAATGTCTTAAAAAAAAAAAAAATCAAATATCAACAGGCAGAGTTTTTGACAGTGACCACAAATTTGATTAACACAATGATCCAGATTTCCAAATTGCTCTAGGTGCTGCTAATTAGAGCTCAAGGCAGGTGCAAAGTGTCTGTATAAGCTAAAGAATAATATTTTTTTCTTTACTGACTATTTTGTTCTTGCATTTTAGGCTCTGAACACCTACCTGTCAGAAGACAAACTGATGAGTATTCTTCTTCTTCCTCAGATGATGAATTTGAATCCAAGTTTTCATTAACACACAAGGTAACCTTTACTTTGAAGTAAAAGACTATTTCCTTGCCTGGACTATATTTAAGATTCGTAATATGAATTTGATCTAAATTTAATGCACAGCAATTTTTCAGAAGGGGGATCAGAACATTTTTTTCGGCAGAGATTACTTGTCACGGATAGAAAACTACATTAAAACTTTATGACAGGTGAACATCAAAATTTATTTTTCTTCTTAGGATCTTTTAATTCCCCCAGGTAATACCAATGTTGACAGAGAAGGTCTTAATTTGAAAAACAGACATGTTTAACTGAAACCAATTTGAAGCTGCATTCTTAAGTGGTTTTAATATGTAGCCCAACAAGCAAACCATTGAAAAAATTAAACCAAACAGATGCAGATTTCCCTTGGGGAAATGCAACTTCATTTGAGAGGCACTACAGGCAGATTGCATGGAGAGTGCTGTGTTTATTCTAATCAGTGCACGGGCATGAGCTGTAGAATCGCACCCCGGCTGTGCTGCCGAAAGAGCCTGCCGCGCACCAGGGTGCGCGGCCCAGGTTCCCTTGCTTGCACCTGGCAGGAGCCATGGGCCTCAAACACCGGTGAAATCTTGACATTCATCTCTGGTTTGAAGAATCAGCTTTTATTGGCTCAATAGCTCATCAGAAACACATTTACCTCTTCCCTGTAGAGGGAACGTCAGTAGTGGAATTAATAGTATGGGGTGGTGTTTTGGGTTGTGGCCCATGAAAAAAAGGAAAATTGGAAGCAAAATGCTGCTTTGTACAGTAAGAAGTGAGCTGGACCCAAAGCGAGGTGGGGGCAAAGCGGGTTGCGCGGCCCCAGGGGAGTCAAAGCACCTGGGGGCCCCGTGCAGGGAGCAGGGCTGTGCCCCAGGCATCAGCCTCGGGGACAGACAGACAGGCAGGCATTGCAGAGGGCGCTTCGGGGCAGAGCCAGGGATGCCGCTGCGCTTTGGAAAATTTGTCAGCAGATGTGGGAGAAACAGTCATTTCATTCTTGCAGGGCGTTTTGCAGGTTTTTAGTCTTTGTTCTGAGGAAAAGGGCTTCAGAGCAGGAAGCGTTAGTGCCACATTTGATTTTTTTGCAGTTCACATCCACTGTGCATCTCCAGTGCTTGTCCTCGTGTGCAGCCCTCAGCTTGGGGCAACGAGGTCGGGGCAAATGGAGTGTGTGAAATAGTTATGCTTATCGCCTTTCAGTTACTTAGCCATGTCGCCTGATACCCTATGAATAACGAGCTTTGGAAAGTATATTGTTCATAATACTGTTTGTTTGTAAGTAGAGAGGAGAAAACAGTGATCAATATTTAGGTCTTCTCAAGCTCAGAACAAAAGATTCCAAAAATCAAATTCCAGAGTGTTTTTCTTAATTGGAGAAGTGTTACTGGGAAGACAAAATAATACTGTGCTAAATTAAATAATATACAGAAGGTAGAATACTGAATAGGAGGAAGTCTCAATAATTGGGCGAGCAGCAGGGCCTGACAGGCACAGGGGACCGAGAGGACGCTGGTGCTGGCCAAAGAGCTGGCCAGCGCTGGGGCAGCTACAGTCTGCCCCTCAAAGTTGTTAGCGGTGCCTCAGCTCCAGCGCTGCTCACCTCGTCCTGCCACGTGCCCGCCACTCAATTTGGCTGCTTCTTTCAGCCACCTCCCAATGCATCTTCTCATGCCAGTTCAGTCTGCTATTTTGCTGATGTCACAGTCTTTCACTAGCGAAACCTGGTGGGAAAAATTTTAACAACTTCCTGGCTTGTTTGTTTGTTTTTTAATCTTCTTGTCTACTATTCTTCTGCCTCCTCGTAAGCGGGAAAACCACAGCCTTGAAGCATTCCCAGCTAGCTTGGGTCAGGAGCAAGCTGGAGCAAGCGTATGCCTTTCCCTCAGTGGCCCCTTCAGCAAGTACCTTGGGCAGCCAATGTACGTTAGCCCAGGGTCAAACCAACTAGTTTTGGAAAGTCTGTTTTTAGGTATACTCCATCAGGGAAATTACTCACACTACAAACTGAGTTTTTACTACTTAGTAGCGACAGCCATGGAAATGGGTCAAATTTCCTTAGACTAGTGGCTCCCACTACCTGCATCTATTTCTTGCCTGGCTGCCATGATGTCCACAGAAGCCGTACGTGTGGGTATCTTGTGCGTAGTCTTCCCTCTGAGTCAGTCATCTTTTATTGAGAGAGTTCACGCTCACTTTAGGCTTGCAGTAAGACCTTGCCGTGATCTGGAGTCAACGCAGGCAAATGCATCGAAATGTTCCTGTGTGGAGCGCAGCCCTGAGGACCTGCTGCGGCCGGCCCTGCTTTGAGCAGGGCTTGGCCCAGGCGCTCTGCAGAGGTACCTTCCCACCACTGCCACTCTGTGGTTCTATGAAAGGCTGACAAAAACGTATAACGGCATAATCGTGCCATGATTGCCTTCTTTTTGCTCTTTACTCTTGTAGGCAAAAAGGAGTCTTAGAAGGAAAAGGAAGCTGGAGAAGGAGACAAAGCAATTGATTAAACAAGAGGAGCTGAAGAGGCTTCACAAAGCGCAGGTAACGTGTAGTTTGCAGTGTCCCATTTGTCTCCCGAGAGTGACTAGCGAGGATGGGAGGCACCAAACGGGGGCTCTGCCTCTCCCCTTGCTCCGCAACAGGGCACACTGACTTCTGGGCTGAAATCCACCCAAAACATTGGGAGCAGTAAAATGTATGTGGTGGGGCATCACACTTTTGCATATGACAAATCCAAGTGTGCCCCAGGAAGATTAACAAGTTGTTTCTTCAATATAAAACTGAAATCCCTGTTTTTGTAGACATCACTCCTTTTGGAAACCACTGTATTCGAGCCACAGTGGATGTTAGAAAATGCTGATATCTAATCTTTACTATTAGATCAATGACAGCATAAAACTCATGGGAAAGAAAAATAATGTCTAATTTAATTCAAAGTAAGAACAACTATGTTACAGTTTTGATCTAAGAGATGTAAGTGATCTCAAGGCAAAATTAGATACATACGTGCCTTCCCTGAGTTTATTGCTTTATGGAAATAATATTCAACTCCAAACTTTTCAAACTTGTGTGTCTGTTAGGCTGTCCCTGAGTATTCGGCTTGATACGCCTTAACGTAGTCTGAAACCAGAACTGCTGAGTGCTTACCTCTGACAATTTGTTCTTTAAAGATGTCTCATGCCTGTTATCCATAAGGCACCTCTGAAAGCCTTTACCTGTTTTAAAGGGAATGGGTCAGTGAATGTACAAGTCCTTTCTGAAGTACCACTGAATTATCACTTTTTAACTATTAGACCCTTTCCTTCTTGTGTCAAAGGCTTATGTGAGGTGTAAAAGCATAAACAACAAAACCCCCATGGACTACAAAATGGCTAACAAAGCTTTTTAGCTGTAAATCTTAAGTATTTAGAAGAGCTTTACCCTCATAGCACCTCAGAACGTGTACCTCTGAATGTGTAAGGTGTTCACCTTTCACACCCTATGAGGTATCGAAACCTTGTGATTTCCGTTTTATGATGGGAGAACTAAAGCTCTGAAGCACTGTGGCTCTTCTAGTACCTAAGATATTTACCTATATACAAATACAAATAGATACCTAGTGGAATTATTAAATTGCTTAGGCACCTAATACACTTAATGAGTTTGAAAATCCTATGAATCCTCAGAGACCTTTTTGAGCTGTTTCTCTAACCACTGAGACCATCCTTTGTCTCTGAATTTGTAAGCCATGTCTGTAGCTTTCATGTCATTATGATTTTGCAGGCAATCCAGCGCCAGCTAGAAGAATTGGAGGAAAGGCAAAGAGCTCTAGAGATTTTTGGTGTTAAACTGGAGCGAGAACTAAGAGGAGAATCAGGTAAATGAAGCAGTGTGTTTGTGGTTGGTTTTTTTTTTTTTTTTAAGAACGTTTTAAATGCAGAGGGTTTTTAGCAATTGAAGTAGAAGTAGAGTTCAGTGCAAAGTTGTAGCTCAAGTACCTTTAAGCTGCATGCTATAAATTTCTGTTGGTTATCACAGATTTTGAATTATTTGACTTGATTTTGAAGCTGAATCTACTCTTGCTCCTCTCCCCCGTTTTTTTTTTAAACCCATCCTAAGCTTTCTTTCATCTTCTACAGAGAATCAGTGGTGTTTCTAGGTGCTGTGACTCAGTTACCAAGCCAGCTACCCATGCCTAGTAACAGAGTCCTTAATGACTTCTCCCTGAGTGTGAAATGTCATTAATATGATTATAGCCAGTGGCCAAGCTATAGCAACAGCAGTGTGTAGCGATACAGACCCAAACTGTGCAGCTTTGCCCTTAGGGATGGGAGATAACTCAGAAGCGAGATTTCCACTTGCCTGAGCCCATGGCCCGCAGGGCTGGGGGGACGGTGTGGCCCGTCCAGCCCCGCCGCAGTGCAGGGCCCACGCAAAGGTGGGCGGCTGACCGAGGGCGAGCTCCCTTGCAAAGCCTCGTGCTTTCATGTTGGGCAGTTACACAACACTGAAAGCCTAGATGTGTTTTTGCACCTGATGTTGTCGTCTTAGCTAGGTAACCTGGTGAAATCACTATGTGGTTTTTTTTTTGTTTTTAATACCGTGGTTTTTTACCAGTTATCACAACAATTCTAACACTGAATTAAGCAATTTGGCAACAGCGAGCGTTTGTCCAAATTAAAAACAATAAGAACTTGTGTGTTTATCCTATCTTTTGATTTTTAACTGCTTTCCAGTAACTGACAGCACTAACATATTTCAAATGTTACTTAAAAGGCTAACATCAATTTTTTTCTTAAATGAAAACCTAACAAGTTACCATCTTTAAGAAAGTCTCCTTAAGAGACTTTGAGGATTTGGAGCATTAGCTTATTTTCATTACTGTTGATCTGCAAAAGGGTGTGGGTTTTTTTTAGATGCCAAAAACATGGAGGGGGCAAGAGACTGCTAACTCCTGGCATAGACACAGAGCACCAGGATAAATGGCCTAGAGCCACCTCTCATTTTTGCTGTTTTGACAATCGCATTTCCTAAAGAAGGCTGTCTGCCAAGAGATTGATGCTTCTCATTCTCTTCCCATCCTTAGTAATTGAATTGCCCTCATTAAGGTGAAAGTACTATTTTTTCTCCCTGTTGATGGTTTGTGTGTAGGTGGCCAGTTACAAATAGGGCAGATACTGAAATGTAGGATGTTACTGTGTCTCAGTAACTCTTATAGTGCAAAAGCACGAAGCCCCAAGTTTCCCAAAGTAGCCGTCAAAATGTGAGTGCTTTGTTGCTTGTAGTAACGTATGTGTAATGATGCAGGAATCAGTGAGCTTAATATTCCATTCAACCTTTTTAAAAATAGTAGCCATTATTGTTTAATGAATGACCAGTCCTTATTAGGTTAAGTTGTATTTAAGGAGGTCTGTGCTTATGTAATTCAAGTGATTTAATAGGTATTATTAAGGTAATTAGAAAGCGATCACAGTTCAGCAATAATATTGAGCTGCAAAGGTTGTGAATAACCAAATTTAGAGACAGGCCTGCAAACACTAGTGTTCAGTGACATTTACGCAACTCTCTTCTAATAATTATGTAAGCAGGGAATGAATGGCTCCTTTGTTAGTGGGAGTTATTCATTAGCTCCTGAACTGAATTAGAAGAGAACATGCGTGGGTGTGAAACAACTGCCATGAAGACTGATGAGCAAAATGAGGCTTTGATGATCTTCTAATTGTAGTGACAATTCATGCATTTAAAAAAAAAAGAAGAAATAATATCAGTCCTATGAATAATTTTTCATGCCCCTTATTCCCTTTATTCTTGTTCTAAATACCAAATAATAAATCATTAATGTACCACAGTTTTATTTTCCGTTGACGTTTGTGGAGGCTCATAGATATCTTCTGCCTACAAGAAAATACAAAAATAAAGATTTTAAAAACACATTTTCCATTGAAATTTGCATAACTGATCGCTTGACTAACCAAATTATGAAGAAAGATGGTAAAGAAGAAAATCTGTATTGAGAGAACATGAGAAATCTCTCTGTATTTTGGAAGATGAGCAGATATCTGCACATGTTGCAGTTAGCTTTTGTTTTCGTATTTCAAGGATTCACATTGTTTAGAACTTTCAATAGAGTCGAAAGAGGTCAACTGAAAATGTGTATCAATAAGGAATGTGAGGGTTAGCCATTCCTAAAGAGGAGCAAACTCACAAAAAGCCCCCTTTACTGTGTCACTGCTGTACGTGGGCATAGCATAGTAGTATTCTGCAGAACGGGAGGTTGAGGTTTTGAGAACAGTATTCAGTAAATACTCCTTTACAATCTGCTGTTCTCTCAGTAGTGGTGTATGTGGAAATACATATGGACATAATTAGAAGAATATCTGACTTTCAAATGGGATCTAGGCTAAAAGAGATTTGGATAAAACAGAAGGTAAGTTTTGCATAAGCAGCGCTGTTTCGAAAAGCCAACCTGGCTCACAAAACTTAGGAATTGTTTCGAAAAGCCAACCTGGCTCACAAAACTTAGGAATTGTTATCCTTTTAACCTTTAAAAAGATCTGTCTTTCCACAGTATGCAAAAGGCTTCATTGCCTTGTTCTGCCTCTGGAAGGCATAAAATACTCCATCAGGCTTAAATATCTATTAACATTATTAATAATAACAATCATTTAAAAAATGCCCCTAGGGACAGTAGGGGGGAATTCTGTGGTATGGAAAAAGAAAAAAAAGAGAGACTATTTCAGCTTCCAGTGAGGGTTTTGCTAAAGCGAGTGATATTTTTGCAGAGTGCGTTACTGTTTGCTTATCTCAATCAAACCACAATACTCTATCTTTTATTAGAAATATAGAGACTTCAAAGTATAAAAAGGAAATGTTAAAAAAAAAAAAAAAAAAGAATATTTTCACCTCATCAAGAAAGCAGCAAGCACAGGGAATAGCAATCCTCTGTGTACGTGAAGAGCATACGCCTACCTGCAATAGCGATGTTTTTATTGTCAGTAAGATAAATTTTAACTTCTGATGGTGGCATATGAAGCCCTAATGCTGCATCCCTGCATTGAATCTGTGAGAAGCTACCATTGCCGATTCCCAGTGAGAACTGCTGATAGTCAGTCTGATGGGATGTTTTTTGCCACCATTTGCTAAACTGGAACATCCCATAGAAGCACATCCATTACTGCAAAGTTTTAATGGACTCGGGCAAAAATCGGACCACTTTTTTTTTTTTTTTTTTTTTGCTTTCTGCTGCTGCTTTGTGTCACGGTAATGTCAATAATGTCAAACTCGGCTCAAACCCTGATTGGAGGTTGCAGAAGCTTCCTCGCGCCAGCATTAGTCCTCCTCAGTGTGGGGTCCCCAGGCACTTCCTCCTGCTCTGCCACCAGCTAACCTGGGCTTTTTCGACTGGCAGTGTCTAATGAATGAATGCAAATGGGCCTCTTAATCATCTGAAATAAAGGTGTAGGCCTGTTAAAGCAAAAGAAATCGCACCAGTCTCCATCCAAGCCATTAGAGAAAATAGCCAAACTCATTTATGGAGTTTTTTTGTTTAGTTACCTAGTAGCATGACATAATGCTTGAGGAAGAGAGCTGTATGCCTTTGCCTGCTAGCAGCATCTCATTAGTTTTGTCCCAAGTCCCATTGTCCCTGCTTCCTGCGCAAGGCAGCAATGTGGGTGGGATGGGCAACTGCCGTTCACCCAGGTAGGAGCACTGGACTGTTGTTTGTGTTATGCTTCTGAAGGGGTCAGTGTGTCACCTTGCTTCTGGCTATATGGCTGCAAAATGGTCAACACGCTGAAGGTACTGTAGGCATATTTCTCCTCAACTACAGGAGGAAAGCTCCTGTCTCGTGGCTGAGAGCTGCTGCGACACAGCAGTATTGCTCACGTGCAACTGCTGGGTGCGTGTAGCAAACTGGATGCAAGGAGTTTTGTTATTAGAGAAGATTATTTAGGGCTAGACACTGCCCCCAGAATTTGCTGAAGATGTCTGCTTCCTACAAGTCATCACTATTTTGTGACAACAGATGGATGGGAGCAGCAAATGTTTTGAGAAGTGTGTTTCCAGTGCCATCACTATTACTGTAGTTCTCCATTAGTACTGGGGAACGAAAGCAGATGATGATGATTTGAAAAAGTCAGGTGAAAGAGCAGAAGTCTTGTAATCTGCTCTGACTTGTCACTTGAAAAAACCCAGGGGTTCTTAATGGCCAAAGATTTTTATATGGGCTGCATTTTAGGAGCAGTGAAGGCTCTCGCCTGGTGGAAGAGGAATCTCTCCTCCTCTCAACAAAGCTGAGTCAGACCGTGAGCTCTTTGGGAGAGAGGCCACCTTTTGTTACATGTCTGTATAGCACCTACCACAGTGATGCCCTTGCCTCCTGGAGTTACAAAAACCCCCAATAATAATAGATCTTCCTCTGCCACAGCCTTTCCAGTCAATCAAAGCAGATGCAGATTTAGAGGCCAGTTGGCAAATGAATGGGAATTTGTAGGGGATTTGATTGTGCATGTGGTGCCCGCTGGGAGAAGGGTCTAAGTTGATACTTGCCAGCCTGTACATCCTGAAGTCTGACTGTGTTAATGGGATACCCTTTTATATATATAATTCAGCTGCTGGAGCCCCATAGCAACAAAGAAACTATGTTATCAAAGGCAGAGCTAGGAGAAAGTAGGAACACCCTTTAAAAAAAGACTAGAGAACTATAGGAAGGAAGAAGAAAAAAAAATAGACCTGCTAACTTCCAAAACAAAAGTGTTTTTAAGGGGGAGAAGGGGGCATTATTTTCTCTAGCTTAAAATCTAATCTTTAATTACATCTTTAATTACGATAAACTACAGCACTTAACCAAAAATAGACTGGAATGTTACATAGAGCAAAAAAATCTACATATGGCTCAGCTTGCCTTACCACTGAGGATCATTTAAAGTGAACTCAAGTAGCAAGAGCATAGGGAGGAAAGCCAGTAATGCACGTTCACCTCTTATATTTTACAGATTCAGGCACACAGGATGAAACTCAGATGCTGCATGAATGGTTTGAGCTGGTCCTGGAGAAGAATAAATTAATGCATTATGAATCTGAGCTCTTGATTATGTAAGTAAGGACAAGGAGTAGTAGCATTAGCAGCAGAGGGAAGAGGGGAAAAAATGTACTTGCGTTAGATCTAACGTGATGAGATTTTCCTCCTGATACATGTAGTTCCCCTAACTGAACTAAGTTGCCACTTTGTCATGCAGAGCATACCACCACACAGAGCATTCACGCTTCTCCTTTTTACCTTCTTATGTCCTGGAGTCTCAGACTGTGATAGAGTAAATGTACCCGAAATACCTCCAAACTATTCTGAACATGAATTTTCAGCTGAGCCTTCTTTGTCCTTCCTTTTCACAGTGCTTCAACTGTTTCAGTCCTATAAGATACTATGAAACACTACTGGTTATGGGTGCTCCATAATGCCTTTCCATAATGTCTAATGAACAGTTGAGCACTTTCATCTGTGGAAGAAAAATAGCCTGACTGTTTATTTCAGTTCTTATTGGAGAAAAGATCTAGGAATTCACTACAGAGATGATACAAATGAAACACCAAGCAAATAAAAACTATCTCAGATGCCACTGTTTGTGGTTGATGGAAATAATACTGGCTGTAGCTCCCTCACCTCACCTCCTTGGAAATGTACTCAAAAGATAAGTGCAGGTGACTCCCAGCTGTTTTCTCCACACACACAGTTTATCTGGGGCTGTGTGGGAAGGTGACAGGAGCTCCAGTGGTCATTACCAGCCCTGGATTTCGCCCCAGTGCAGGCCGTTCGTGGTCATTTGTCGTTCCCGTGTCGCACAGCCAGCCACCCTGCGCTGCATGCGGAGGAGCTGCCAAAGCGCTAGGAAATCTGCTGATTTCTCTCGGCTGGTGCTGATGCTGCTGGGGGGGAAAAACCTTTCCTTTCCCCTCAGATTGCCCTTGGGCTTGGGGGCAGCCATGCTGCCTGCTAACACTGCCTGAAAAGGAGAGTCGAAAGAGCAAAACCAGGCTGCTTGTATCAATACAGGGCCGTTTTGGAACAATACTGTTTTCCATGCGTATTCACAGGTGTTAATTCCCTTGCCTGAGGAGCCACTCCTGTGCAGAGGGCCTAGCAGGATGCTTCATTTGTGGGAGTGTTCAGTCCTATTCAGAGTCACGTTTTTGGTGCAACCAAGAAAGCACAGCTGCACAAAAGCCTTAAATGTTGCAGTATCTGAGGGAGGTTAAGCTGATACATAATGCAAAAGGTGGTATTGGTACTTGGGGTGTTGCTTTGGGAATGTAGGCACAGATGTAGCTTTTAGCCTTGACTGCCTGCGAGGAGAAAATGCTGGATATACAAAATATGCATACTCTTGGCTGTAATAATATTAATATGCATGTCTAAATATCTCTAGTAGAAATGATAGTAGTGAAACTACTAGTAGTAGTATCAGGGATGGTAGTAATAAATAAGAGAGGATATTATGTCACCTGTTTTTCCTGTTATTTTAGGTTAATAACAGCCACACAATTCTTGTGAATGCTAGTCTTGTGAGAAAAAAATTATTTTTATAGAGCAGAGATAATGCTAAGAAAGAAACAGCTTCACAGTAATAGAGCAGCAGTACTAATCATGAAAGGGGTATAAAAACAAATCACTTTTATAAAAGAAGAGAGATCGGGGACCCAAGATCCTGTTTATCAATCACAGAGGATTACTACCTTGCAGTTCTAAAACTCTTTGGATGTCTGATAGGTTAGAATTCTTTTCCTTTCCTTTTTTTAAATCAATTTTTGAAAATTTTGGCCGGTCTGATATGTTTTCATCATCAATTTTAAATAAATTAAAGTGTATGTTTAAAATTATAATAGCATAGGCAGCAGTAGCTGTGAAAGCCAAGGCAGAGTTGTGAGTTCTAGCTACATCCCTTTTGGTGCCGATGCCAGCTTACACTTTAATGTGCCTTTCGTTGTACTCAGAGCCCAAGAACTAGAACTGGAGGACCACCAGAGCAGGCTGGAGCAGAAGCTGAGGGAGAAAATGGCCATCGACGGTAAGTCAGAGGGGTGAGGATGTTAATCTCCCGCAGCAGACCCTGGCCGCTGCCGCGGGCAGAGAGGACCTGCACAGCTGAGGCACTTCCCTCTGTGCTCTCGTGCAAGCACAGCGCAGCCAGCAAAATGTAACTTGGGAGCTCTTTTCCCATCTGTTTTTGTTCCTCACAGTTCAGCCTTACAGTGAAGACAGCTGCGCTAACTTGCTCAGTTTTGCACTGAGGTAGCTTAAAAAGCACTCGCGCATCTAATTCCACTGACTGCGCTGTGCGAGCAGCAACATCCAGCTACCTACATGAGGATGGGTAGCTGTGGAAAGTAATGTCTTCAGTCACCTAAAAACAAATGAGGTTCTCTGCCTTTATGTTAACAACAGTGGTAACTATTGTGCCCCAAACTATTGCAATAAGGTACTTGGGATTACAGTTTGGCCTTGTTCTTTCATACGTTGTTTGTTCTTCTATGTATGAAAGAACACAAGATAGAAGATAGAACTAAAGGCAATAAGAACAACGTAACAAAATGTCAAAATTACTTGCTAGAGGCTACTACAGACTTCTTTGGCTCTGCAGCATTCAGTAATCATCCTACTGCATTATGTCTGACCAAAGAACTTCTTATAGGAAACTTCAATACCCTGAAATGACAAGTGTTTAAAACATCACGAATAAAGGTTAGGCCTGCTTTTTTGAAACCACTGTGTCCAAACGAAAGAAAGAAAAGCGTATGGGAGGAGGAATGAAGGGAAGAAGGGGGGGTTACGTACCACTGAATACACCAAAATAACCCGTTGTATTCCTAGCATGGAGATTGTAAATGATGGCAATTTTCAACGCTTTTCTTGACAAACACTTTTTTGTCACAAGTTCTATGTTTTGTTGTTGAGCTTGTCACCTTTTCCAAACTAAATTAAAAATCCATCTTAAATGTTGTCACCTTACATTTTACATCCTAATGCAGTAATTGCTATCTGCAATATAGCATTGCAGTTGTGCTGTAGTCTTTAGGCGACCTTTATATATGTTTTTATAAATAAGTAGTGTTCTTCCTATCACTTTCAAGTGCAAGTTCTGCTAAACGATCTACTGTAGACATTAGGGGCCTTAATGGTCAATCTTAAGCGTCCCAAGTGCGGAAGAAATTATCCCTCAGCTGCAGCATTAAAAATGTTTAACTGCTATGGACTTCATTTCTTGTTGATTATAATATTAATTCAAGCTGTACACCAGCAGTTAAAATGCAAAGCATAACAACATAGTGATCTGGATTTTAACCTCTTGTTTTGTGATCTCTTAGACAGCCTTAAAGATGAGATGGATCTGAATGAGGAAGACGAAATTTTTACTGAGATGATGAAGGTGGTTGAACGAAGGGACAAACTCGTGTCTACTTTAGAGGAACAGAGAGTGAAAGAAAAAGCAGAAGACCAGCACTTTGAAAACTTTATATTATCTAGAGGCTATCAGCTGAGCAGGATTTAAACAGCCACATGTGAATAAATGGAGTTTCAGCAATATTCATGATCATGGAAATTTCCAGTCTTCTGGAAAATGAAGGAATTCAAATTTAAAATCAGTTTATTTGGAAAACATGCTGTTTTGTTATCAAAAGCTTTTAAGTAGTTTCTTTGCTCCCACTGGAGTGAGTCTAGCCCCACAGAGAAGTTACAGCAATAACTATCTACACCTTGCTATCAACTTAAAGGGTCACAAGGATAAAGAATGGGATTGAATTCACCTATCTGGGCATCATGTTCTGTGAAAGTGAAATAGCAGCTCTGTTGTCCTGGAATTTTATTTTATTCCTGAGAATAGAGTTCCCTAGAAACATGATGACGTGATTTGGCATTTTTGCGATTGCATTATTTTCCATCCGTTTAGCTGAATCTGTATGTGATTTTGGTAATGTTTTGGCACAGCTGAGCAACAGTCAACTATTTAAAGGCAATAAAGCAAGAATCTCACACAAAAATAGGTTAGTTTTTATTTCTGGTGGAGGAAGGATCTTTTGAATAATTACATATATTATAAGTAATCATTATAACTACTGTAAATGCAATGTCAGAAATTAGGTTTTTCTAGACATTTGTAAGTTTTAGTGCACTGTATATTTTTGAACAAGAATTTAATGCAATATTAAATCCCTACATGTTGGAAAATGGTAAGAGAATATCAAAGAGGTGACTCCCCTTAAAAGACTGTTAAAAGCTCAGAAAAGCTCTCTGTATGTTACAGATTAAGGTCGTCCCTAAAATATACCGAATAATGTTTTAAAAATAGCAATCCAGAACTGATTAGTATTTATAGGGTATGCTTTACAGTTGGCATGCTTGGTAAAATGCATCACAGATAGTATCGTAGGGTACCATGAGTGGTGTAGCAGTTAGAGACTGCTCCAAGAGACAATAATTGCACAAAAGCATGGCTGAAAATGCTGAATTTTGTAATGCCAGCACTGACAGAAAATGTTGTGGTTATATTTAAACTATATTTATATTGCTGCTCAAGAGGAATGTACACTTATATTTTTCAGAATCATTGTATTTTGATTTTTTTTAACTTAAAGGAAATATCTCATCTCTTTGTACATGCATTTATAGCCTTTGGCATAGCAGATGTGCAAAACTTCTCCTTACTATTCCGCATATTTTAAGTGCTTTCTTAAATCTGAGATAATTCTGCAATTTAAGATTGGTAGCGTTCCCAACTGAATGTATGATCCACTACATTTTCAAACTTTAAAAAAAAAAAGAGAGAGAGAGAGAGAGAGAGAGAGAGAGAGTTTTTGACTATTATTTTACCTTTATTTTATTTCTCTCTTTTGAAATCTGCTGGCATTTCTAGTGTTGTGAAGAAATTCTCTGGATTTTATCGCTGTACCCAGAAGCCTCATGTAATCCAGTAAAATAATACTGACTAGCATATCTGTCATTCTGCTGTAGAAAATGGAGAGCCATAATGCTTTCAAGATCATTTTTTAAATTTGTGAGTCAAACTCTTTTTCGTAGTGCTTTGGACAGCAGGGGAAGTCAGCACAGCCACCTCCAGCTATATCAGCAAAGGTTGTTTTTTTCAGTCAGTTTTTCAATTAAAAAAATCCCTTTGTTTTAGTCGATGTTGCTGGCCTCCGAAGAGGAGGAAGGGCGACGCGAGGACATGGCACATCACATGCGTTGTGTGGGCACATGGCACGACTGAGGGTACATAAGCCTGACATTTCAGTTTCCTGCAGATGCCTGCTCTGCTGTAAAACCAGGCGACAGACAGGTGTGGACAGACTCTTTCATTTTAGCTCCAAGGATTTCGGTCCCTGAGAGTATTAAAGGCAACAGCAGTTGAAGGTCATCACCATCTTATGGACCCCCAGAAGAGTCTCTGTTTTAAAAGTTACTTTCTTGTATGCTATGTGGTAGTAATACACGCTGTACCCAAAACTGCAGGTCTCCTGTGTGTGTCTGTAGGCTCTTGGGTGGAAAGTCCTGCGTAGCTACTGTTGCCCCGCCTGACACTAATGTGCTCACAAGATTCAGTCCAAAAATGAAGAGTGCAGGTGACTTAGGAGAAGAATAAGCTCTAGGTAATTTAAAGTAGATCTTTGTACATTATGAGAGTAGGCGAGGAGGGGAAAAAGAAAGAGAAGCTATGTACACTGTTCACAGCTCAATTTAATATGGCTGGCTTACGTTAGAAATGCATTTAAACAAATATGTTTGGTTATGAGTGTTCTTGCTGTTCAATCTTTTCTGTAAATTGACTCACTTACTTATAAGGAATTTGTTGATTTTTAAATCTTTGTCACTATTTTTAAATCCTTGGCACTGTTATCACAAGTATAATATGATGTGCTACAACATATTGGCTGTATCTAACCTGACTAGATGTGAGCAGTTTTATATTTGAAGAAATAAAATTGTATCTCACTCTCTAAAGTCCCTGAGTCATTTCTGTAATAATTTCTTACCTCCAATATCTACAGAGCAATAATGCATGTCTAGGAAAGACCTATAGGTAAGAAATTATATCATTTTCCTAATCATATACTGGTAAGTAAATTGCACTATCTTACCTGGCACTTCATATCTTAGAAATAATGGCACTCTGCTGCTAGACAGTGTTCAACTTGACCTTTAACAAGAAAATGCAAACCCCATGAGATCAACAACTTCCTTTAATTTCTGACATGGTAATTCATCACCTAATTTCCTTAGACATTACATACAAACTGACAACTCCTTGAGCTGAAGGAAAAAGGCCACTGCGCAGATCAAGAATTGGTGAGCAAAACCTTAATTGCTGATTTTCATATTCCACCAACTTTACTTCTATTAGGCTATCTCTTAATCTGTTGTTTTCTACCAGTGGGACAGACTCGCAGAGGAAGACAACGTTACTGCCTCAGAAGAGATAAGCAAGATTTGGGCTTACGTTAGCCCCTGCGCCATTGTCCCCTTAGCAGCAATTCCAAATTGATCGATGCTTCCCTCCTCTTCAGATGACAGGTGGATGGCAGCTGCTCTTCAAAGGTCCAGGTAATTTCTGTCACATCTGAGCTGAGCTTTGTCTTCTACTGTCATGTCCTTGTCCTTCTTACCAGGTGGGCATGGTAGTGGTTCTGCTGATAATCTACTCATAAATCCTCAAGACTGCAGAGGAATCACCCACCTGCATGGCAATTGGAAGTAATAAGTCAAACTTTTAAACGCGTACGCGTATAAAACTTTGCAGCCCTGCTGACTGCTCAGCCAGCTGGTTGGCAGCCGGGGAGCTTGGCCGGCCCAGGAGCACAATAGGGGTAGAAATCTGCCTATTGGAATTTACTGAGGCTCCCCTATTATTCACTCTCTCTGACCCCCTCCAAAAGATTATGGCTCTAGAGAAAGGCAGTTGGGCAAGATGTTGAAGAAAAAGACTTTGTAAGCCATCACATGCCTTGAGATCAGTTGATTTGTCCCCAAGGTAAGAGAATGCCTCATTGATTTTAAGGGTATTTGGCTAGATTTCTCTGGGCACAGGCAACAAACGTAACAGACTTTTGTCTTGCAACCACTATTTTCAAACCTAATGCAGGGAGCATATCTGATTTCAACTGAATTTGATTTTAGTTTAGCAGTTTCCTTCCAAAAAGATATACTCTGGTTTTTTTCCTGCTTAAGTATGTAACAGGATGTGGCTTAGCAGATTGGAGATTCTGTCTGTCTTTTAAGACCTTGCTACTGTTAAGATCTAAAGCTGTCTGCTGAATTTTGGAGGGACCACACAGTTATTTGCATAGTATGGCATGATGGGTTTACCATGTTAGTATGTGAATACTATCCCTACAGTCTTCATGGCAGTCATGGTATCTCCAAAACCTGGAACCTGACAAATACCTTGTGATGAGTAATGTATTCACTGGATTTCACCTAAATCTGTTTGTCTAGTATTTATGAACAACTTGTCTTTTTTCCGCATGGTTTCTTCTGCTGATTCTAATGAACTATGGCAAGAGATTTCATGTGCCAGCTAGGTGTTTGCTGGTATAGTCACATAGTACAGATGTACAAAGCTACAGACAAGAGAAGGGCATTTCTTGTGAATACAAAAGCTTATTAATAAAAAATCATGAGCCTAATTTTTCTGAAACTGTCTCAACAAGTCCAGAGGTAAATTCATGTAAACCTGGCCTAGTACGTATAAACAACTGATTGGCAGAATTACATATTACCAGAAGCATTAAGTGCCAGGATAATTTTCTTATCTCATTGAAAAATTTCAAAACCAATTTCCTTCCATTGAAACTTTCCAAATAATTGATCTCTATGTGTGATCTGTGTATACACTATGCTGTCTTTTGTCTTGCACCTACAGTGTTCTTTACTAAGTCTATGTTTGACCTTTTGGGGTCCTTAATGTGCAATATAAAAATATATTGTACGTTTGAAGGATCTAGTTAGTAATGTATTCACTGGATTTCACCTAAATCTGTTTGTCTAGTATTTATGAACAACTTGTCTTTTTTCCGCATGGTTTCTTCTGCTGATTCTAATGAACTATGGCAAACCCAAAGAAGATACAGGTTAATTAGAAAGCATAGCTCAATTTTAAATTTAAGCATAAGCATAGGTTCAATCTAAGACTCACTTTGTGAGCTGGAAACAAACTTATCTTCAAGTGTGAGTTTTAGATGGTGGTGGCTGTGAAAATTTGGAGTCCTGCTACCTGATAGCAGTGCTTTCTGCCGTTATAACGTAGCCCCCACTGGGATGATTAGTCAACCCTGGGCTGGCCTTTTAGGGGCTGAAATCATATGCAACAAGGTCCTATGGGCTACATAACCTGCCTTGAGTTGGTATGGGACAGGAGATGTGGCTGCGCAGACTACCAGCCAGGCAATATGTTGTGCTGTGGTCCACTCCCAGCACCGCCTCTCCCAGCACAGTACCAGAGGTGGGCCACCCGGCGTGGTGAGGAGAGGAGGGGGGGGGGGGGGAAGGGAAGGGGGCTTCATGGTGAAATACAAAACCACTTTCTTGAAGTACAAGCCTGAAGTTCTTGCCTCTCAACTTCCAGGGGTGCCACCAGGACAGGCTGCAAGGCGTTAGTTCCCTGGAGGGGAACAGGCACCTAGCATGTCTGGTTCATGGATTCAGCCAGGTCCTGTGAGAGCTGTTCCCTCCAGAGATTTTTGGGTGCTCTCAGGAAAAGCCATCCCAGAGACGCCGTGGTGTTGTCTTTCAGTGGGATGCAGGTGAGAGGTAATATTGCTCAGCCACCCTGTGAAACACAGACAACTGCTCCCTGGGAGGACAGGGGTGGCTGGTGCTCCTGTATCTGACAGGCACAAGAAAGCAGAGGAAAGCTTATGGCATTGCACTGGGAGAATGTGAGTTGCCAGCACTGTAAAAGAGAGTTTTTGGGAGGAGCCAAAGGAAGGAGCCTTCATACTTGCCTCAATTGCTTGTTATTGTTGAGCTTCTGGCTGAGATATGTGGAAGAAAGGAGAAGCTTACCAAAGCTCTTATTTACCAGTGTCCTAAATTTTAACAGCCTCTCTTTGAATCCCAATCAAAAAATAGACACTAAACAGCCACAAAGTAGCCTGTGAGGAAATGTCAATGTCGTCTTCTCTAAGAACCATCCTTTACTGTGCTGTTAACACACAGCCTGGGGAGTAGGGATGTGAATGTTCAGCAGTTCACTACATAGAATTGGCACATGAGAAGATGGTTGACTGCAAACATTTAGAAAAATATAAAGAGTAGACTTTGGTCTAATTCTGTTCTTTATGAAGTCAGTGAAGAGTCTTACTGCAGGCAAATACTGCAATAGCAGTAGAGCAATAGAGTATTTTTGAAAATTCCACTGTTATTGTTTAAAAGACCACAGAGTCAAAAGGCTAGAGCAGAAGTGTACTTAAGAGAAAAATGTCGAACTCCAGATCAAGAAGAATCGATAATTTATTGCATGGCCTTAACTAGCTTGGCTTAAACTTGTGTAATAACAGAAGAAATACTTTGAAAACCAGATATGACATCAGGGCTGACCTCTCTCCCCTGAGTCAGCTATCTCAGATTATGAGTATACTTTCAGCTGCTGCAGTGCTCATTTTTATTAGCCTAGACCATGGCTGGTATATTATGTATTCTGTCTCTTCCACCTCATGCAGGAAGTAATATTCTATCTGTGATCACTCTGAGTTCTGTAGTAAAAGAAATAGAAAACAGGTGTGCATGGACAGATATGAAGGTGAGTAAGA